AGTCGACCTTTATTTTTGGAACGGGCACACTTGCAGACCGGTTTCGGGCTCATAAGCCCGATAATGGACATCTTCGACCCTAAGTCAATGATATTCCATAACTGAAAATCGGAATTTTTTCAGAGTATTTTATTTCCCTTCCTAAGTTGGACCGAAACAACAAAATGTTACTCCATCTAGTGGACGAGGGACTAACCAACTGAATATCCGTAATTTGCCCGATTCCTCTGAATAAGGAAGAAAAACTTTCTTATTAGTCAGCGGGCTCTGCTTGAAGACTGGCAGTAAATAAGTTCATTTCTTTAGATTTATTCTTGGAACTGTTTGCAATACGATATATACCTGCAGGTTTTACTACATACTTTACACTTCAATATACAGTATGAATTATAACATTTATGACACATTGTTTCTTTTGATATATTGAGTATTCATGAGTTATGCAAGGTATTAGTAGTAGCTACGGTGAAATGAAAATAATTATTCATTCATTAATGTTTGTTTCTCGAGTACAGTTCGTTAAATGTAGTGCGTTAGTCAGTTGCTGTTTGAAATATTTCTGTGGGAACAGCGGGTTCTGACCCTGTTTTGGGATCATGACGACGACCGCATGCTTCCACCTACTGGGGAAGTATCTGAGGGCTAACGAACTATTAATTATATTTAGTAAGCACTCGACGCATTTGTCCGGGAGCCTCTTCAACAACTTGTTAGTTATTGAGTCGACCCCCGGTGCTTTCTTAGCTTTTGCGGCTCTGATATATCCCTTCAGCTCTTCCACAGAAGCTGGACGGATGTCGTCATCGTCATCTTCCCTGAGGAATCGGTGAACCCGGACTTCCAACAGCATATCGCGATCAATGTCGTCATCGTCGTCAACGTTAAGCTGAAACTGACGTTCCATCGAATCAGCAAAGGCTAACGCTTTGTCGGCGGGGGAGTAGCATACTCCGCGCTCTCCGTGAATGGGTGAGAGAGCAGTCTTCTTCCCCTTGAGCCTGCGAGTGACTCGCCAAAGCTCGTCACTCCCAGGTTCAAAGGATTCCAACAGCTCTTCCCACCCCTGCTTGACTTGATTGGCCATCCTGTTTGCCGCAATTTTATCCCCTGGGAAAAGGGTTCGCTGATAGAGCCTTCTCAGGCGATTTCTCTCTCGTTTCAAGGCTTTGATACGAGGGGGAAACTCATTATAGCTATAACTGAACATCGGAATTCTTTCAGTTCCTAAGTTGGAGCGAAACAACAAAATGTTACTCCATCTAGTGGACAAGGTACTAACCACTGCATATCCGTAATTTGTCCGATTCCTCTGAATAAGGAAGAAAAACTTTCTTATTAGTCAGTGGGCTCTGCTTGAAGACTGGCAGTAAACAAGTTCATTTCTTTAGATTTATTCTTGGAACTTTTTGCAATCCGATATATACCTGCAGGTTTCACTACATACTTTACACTTCAACATACAGTATGAATTATAACATTGATGACACATTGTTTCTTTTGATATATTGAGTATTCATGAGTTATGCAAGGTATTAGTAGTAGCTACGGTGAAATGAAAATAATTATTAATTCATTAATGTTTGTTTCTCGATAGAGTACAGTTCGTTAAATGTAGTGCGTTAGTCAGTTGCTGTTTGAAATATTAATGAAATATAAGGGTGTTACAGTGGAAGTTCAGTGTATTATTTCTACTTGAAGTTCACATACGAAGTGGGATAGTAATTTACATGAATATACATGAGTCGATGAATTTCTACCTTATCATCCAGTAAATCTTTCTCATTCTCAACCTTATCGAATGTAAGAAGCTTGAAATCAACACAAAAAATAACGAAATAAAACGAACGTAAGTAGAAATATTTATACTAGTTTGAATATTGATAAGCCATTGATTCCGATATTCGGTCCAGCCTATCAAGTAATTGAATCCGTTCGGCAGGTAAAATAGAAAACTGAAAAGTATTTGTCGACTATGCACGTAAATGATACCACTCATCCAAACAAATGTTTTCTCTGTGAATAAAATATGGAGACATTTCTTTTGAAATTTTTCGTAGTTACATTGAATTTGGAAAAGTGTTTTAATTGTAGCTGCATACTATTCACAGAAAAAGGGACATAAACAAAGTGATCATTGTCTTTGAAAAATAAATAAATAAACTGAATTGAAATTCATCCAAATTCTCGTCAGTATAGGATATCTAGTTAAAAACCTGGGTCATGTAAATAGGGCCCACAGGATATGACAAACCATTTCACTGAGATTCTTACTGTTGTTTTACTGATGAATAAATGTAAAAAATATTTCAAAAGGCATTAAATGCGAATTAAATGAAACTTTCTTAGAATTCAGATGTTATAAATGTAATAAAGGCGATCAGTCAATAAGAAACTGAAAAGATTCAAACATTCTCAGCAACAGTGCATGAGTCGTAATTAAACAAAAAAGGTCCATTCCACTCAGTCCCTGAATTGAAATGGGTTTTGGAAAACCGCATTCATACACATTCGTACTATAAAAAAAATATTAACTTGATATGGGTATTTGATTTTTTATGAAAAAAAAACAATTGCTCAGGAAGTGAAATCGTTGTTAAGTGTCAGAAGTGTCAGATCAAATAGATTTCAATACTGTTAGGACAGTTTGTTGCAATATGATGTCATCATCAGTTGCAATTATTTGAACATTTAAGTTTGGCTATTATAAAATATGGTTAGCACATAGTTTTCAAACGAATTTCTACTTCGTTATTGTTCAAATGCATATCAGAAGCGAAGCTGAGAAACTGATATCTCCAAACTCAATCGTATGTCATTTGAGAAAAATATTTTCTCTCTCAATAACTTCTTGATAACAATACAGAGTCAAGTTCTGTCTGCGTGAACCCCGTTCTCCGAGTGGAAAGAAACCAGACAAGCTTGAATCATTCAGGGCAGGAGGGTTATTATGCTGGCATTCCATTTGGATTCCAGGACATCGGCTGTGGATGCACATCTTCACCGGGAGCAGGGAGTTGCATATTTTAATGAGGATCTGAAAGTGATTTCGAATTGGGGTGAAAGTAACCAGGTTCAATTCAATGTCACAAAAGCTTGGGCATCGGTTTTCATAAAAATAATAATTTTTCCCAACCGGATATAATAATGTCAGGTCAGACAATTACACTTTCTGCTTAGATAAGTTTGTTGAGGGTTAAAATGGACACCAATATGCCTTGGCAAAATCATGTCGCTGGAATTGCAAAGTCGGTTCTCAAAAGCTTGGAACACTGCTCCGAACTAGAAAACTGTACACACCTCAGCAACTTTTGATGTTTATAAAGCTCAGATCAGACCTTCTTTGGAGTATTGTTCTCATGTATGGAGCTCCGCCCCTAAACATACCCTGAAGCTGCAAGATTCCATCCAGAAAAGAGCTATCCATCTGATTGGAGACACGAACATCACTAGCAACCTTGATAGTCTGGAACATCGAAGGAAGGTTGGAGATTTGTATCTCTTCTGTAGATACTTGCACGGGAGGTGTTCAAGTGACTTGGCACATTTGATTCCACCAAGAGCGGTACATATCAGAAATACGCGACGGACTGTGGTTGCTCATCGTTTTGGGGTTCATCTCAGTACACCTCGCACTCTACTGTTTAAGAACTGTTTCAATTGGAGAACTGTGCTCGAGAGGAATAAACTTCCTGAGACGGTGAAAGGACTTTTAGTCCTGAAGCTGTAATACTTGTAGAAGAAATATAATCCCTAAGAATAAAAAAGGCGGCTCTGGTTCCTTCAAACAAACGCTGTAAGTAATTAATCGAAGCTTTTTTGTTTCAGTTGAAATATAGCAGTCATCATCTGGTCAGGAATGGCCGAGTGTGAACAGGCATTATTGTCAACAACGTCAATGGAGGCAAATTATGGCTTTGGAGAGAAATTCGATGACATATTGTTTTCTTTTGATGGACTGAATTTTCATGTTTTATGTAAGGTATTAGTGAAATTTACATTAATAAATTCTGGACAAGACAGAACGATAACCCTATATTTGATATTTTTACTCACTGAAGTTGTTTTAAAAATAGTGTTCGAATGATAAATGGTGTCTAAGAACAAATTTTCCATTACTGTCTGTCATATTATAGGTCAATCGAAGGTTTCGTTTGGGTTTTTGAATTTTCATTAACTCTTCTATATTTCGAATGAACTGACCCGTTACTTGGTGAAAATCAATAACACTTTTCATGAAAATAATAATTTTCACAATATGAAATTATTTTCAAATGTGCGTTCCACGACAACAGTAACTTTCTCAGTTGGGCCAGTCCTACAAGGTAACTGCGGTCATCAAGGTGAGAATCTTATACGTTGAACATCCAACAACCTCAATATTGAATAATCAACTGAAATATCTTCATTATGCAATTCTGACTGCCACAGAGAATATTCCATATAATAGTCTACATGTTCGATTCTAAAGCTGAAGATTTCGGCCTGGTTATTCCTATGACGATCAGGAAAGCGCCACCTAGTTGGTGGATGTAGTCAGTATCTTGTGGCCATGGAAGGGCATCTCTCTAAAATGAGTCATAGGAAACCTACTTCTCAAACTACACATTTGTGTTGCTTATCTGTCTGACGAAAGTGGAGGGAGACTGACCGCCGATCAAGTTCTTTCAAAATTGAGGAAAATGTATCATGATATGTGAACCTTTTGGTTTGGAATATTTTTCAAAAAAAAAGTTCAGACTCTATGGCACAAAATGTATTTTCTGCCTGCCACGCTGTGGACCGAATCAGATTTCAAGCTTTCAGCAGAGTTCTACTCTTGCCGGCCTGAAATATCACTCATCAAATGTGTCAGCATAAAGTGTAAACAATAAACTCTCGCAGGTTGTTATGGTTGCAACCTACACCAACCTATCTGTTAGAAAAAACAACTTCAAAATACATCAAAATAACTACTACCAGTAAACTTATATTTTTTAAATAAGTACCATGCTCCTACTCACTGCGCATGAACGATGGCGGATCTAGAGATATGTCCTGGTAAGTCATTTCAAAGATTGGAGGATATTCCTGTAAGGGATGCGGGGTTAAAGATACTCCGTAATCGTCGTTTGATGATGATATTATCTCTTCAGTGTCATCTTCCTTACTTCTCCTGAAAAATGATATTTAAACGTAAACTTCAATCAAAAGTCATTTTTGAGTTTTATTTGCTCTTCGGAAGTCGTTTTACTGTAAGATACGGAGAATAATTATTCCTGGCTGTTATGAAATGGGATTTGAAATCCCGGCGAGTCGAAGCACAGATAACGGTAGTCTAATGCTAGCTATTTGTTTGAAGGTGGTTGACAATGTCTCGTGGTGCATTTCATTAGTTCAGATTTCCATTGCCTAATATGATGTAAATTGATTTGAATTCCCTGAAAAATTAAAAATATTAGCTGAAAAATAACAATTATATCTAGCAAAAAAACTGAAATTACAATGAAATAAAATACAAGCAACAATTTGAGCTATTCTCCTGGCTGTGTGTTTCTTGTGTTCAACAAAATGCGAACTTTCAATGGCCTCTTAGTTTCACCGATGTATAATTCTCCGCACTAACAGGGTATCCGGTAAATGCAATTCTTGGAATCGCAGTCCGCGTTTGGTGGCCTGGTTTTCGTGAGACTGCTACAGATAGTGTTCCCAGATCTGAGGCAGGTTCTGATGTTTTACTTGGACTCAATTCTTCTGATGTAAATAAGTACAAGTACTGGTTATGGCGGCTTCTCTTCCTTGTGAGACTCTTGCTGTCTTCTAGCCAGAGTCTGTTCCACCTTCACTTCGCTGGAACCATTCCGTTGAAGGTCATTTTTATTAATGCCTAGTTCTTTCTCGGGACCTTTCTTCGAATCACAGAGCCCGAAAGTACAGTCTTTTAGAGTCTTGATGATTCCTCTTTTTGTCTTAGGAATACAACCACTATCAATCGATAGAGGGAAAAGGGGATAGGTGAAAGCACTCGAATGACCTATAAATAGTCAGATCTCGAAGAAATAAGTCTAGTCATCACCCGAAGGTGATTGTGGATACTTACAATCGAAACGTCGTGATACTTTCCTAGTACACGATCATGATCCACGAAACGTGGACTTAATATTATTTTAGTAAAATGGAACTGTTGAGATCATGTGAGAAACAGGATAAAAACGCAGTAGCTATAATTATTGATGGCATAACTAGCCCGGTTATACAAAATGATGTTAAAGCAGGAAGGTATTGTGATCCCAAGAAGCTATTAATCAAATAAGTAAGTGTTAGAAAAATCAAAAAGCTAGATATGACTCTAAGCGGTAAGAATCATTCAAGTACTCTGTTGGGCAACTAGTTCTCATAAGACACATAACTGCTTCCAACAACTGGAAAAAAAAACTTCCACCAACATATAGCGGACCATTTGTAGTGGGATCTATTTTGGATCATGATCGGTACGTTATTGAAGACATGCGAGAAGCAGGCAGGTTTCAAAAATCTTTACAGCGGAATATGTTCAGTGGATAAGATGAAGTTTGTTACTACCCGTAGAGACAGTCTCGAATGGATTAAAGACGACGACCATATTCAAGAACTCAATAATGTACATGCCAGGGGAGGGTTCATCCAGCTAAACTTCGGCCAAGCACAAGGTGTACTACACGGAGAAGAACACTCTCTGGTACGAAGTGATGCAGTTAACGAAGTTCAACAAACTGTTAAAGAACAGTTGGTTGATGATCAGATGGTCGTCGAAAGAACACACTTCACAGGTAGGCAGGACAGGTGTTCCATAAGATGAAAGGTTTGGTCACTGAGCTTAAAAGGGGTTCAGCAGACGGCTGATAAGAGACGAATAAGGAATATCCGAGGTTGAGGCTAGTAACTTTGCTTATCGCGAAGAAGATGCGAGTCAACACGTTAACCATGCAAAATAATCGATCAGGAAGATGCAACGCCGCCATGAGTAAAAGCCATAAGATAATTTCACTAAACTGTCTGTGACTTTATAGTTTGGAATTATCATTCTTTCCTTACTATTCATGTTACAATTGAATAGAAAATTACCTCCGTAGGGACGAAAGTGCTGTAGCAGTGGTCGACTGTAAGATACTCAATTTTAGACACCTTGTAGTCGTGGAAATAACGGGGAATGAATAATCCTGATTGTTATGTAATGGGATTTGTCATCCTGGTGAGTCGAAACACAGATAACGACAATTTAATGCTAGCTTCCATTATGGAATTTTATATTTGTATGATTACTGGATTAGTGAGTATTAATATATTGTAACAAATTAACGAATTAACTGTCTTAAAGAAATTTATTTCCAACAATATTTCACTAATCACAAACTAATTTATTAACAAAACTTAGCAACTAACGCTTAATTTATTTTCACTATTTGATTGAGTTTCTTGTTTAGCCGCTCGATTCGGTCGGTAGCCAAGCGGTTCGGCGTGGGTGCTTTGTTCACTCACTCGAATTGACTGCCGTGTTGGTCGGTGGTTCAAGCCCTAGTCTGAACGATCAATCTTCGCTTGCTATCGTCCAACCCGTGTTAGGAATCACACGTTAAAAGGTAAGACCCCGTTAGTCCTTAGCTCGCACAAGTTTCGACTTCTGAGGGTTGTCGTTCGTNATCATTTTGAACACCAAAGCGAGGAAGTGACATTTTCGAAATAAATTGAATTACTGAAATGTCAAACAACTTTATTGTGTTGGTTGCTTAGCAATGTCATGACATAAGTGATAACTACCCGTGAAAACTATCCATGGGTAGTTATCAGTGTAATGATGGTTTCATTGGTTATTTCGACACACATGACTAGAAATAGACAAATTTGATAGGATAATTTTTTTGGCAAAAAATTTTCATGTTAAGTTTCGTATGATGTTACATATTCTTGTGAAGTGAATCTTCTATACCAGGTATTTTAAATTCGACTCCCACCTTTGCGATCTTGGAAACTATAGGAGAAACGAAGACGTCGAAATTAAGGTGACAACAAAATGCTATTTAGAAAGTTCGAAATTCCGAGTGTTTCCTGAAAACGGAAATTTTGTATTACACATTTCAATTTCCACTTTTATACATAATGGTGCTAACAGATTTTCCTTTCGAAGTTTCGACTCTCTTCCCCCACCATCAATTTTATTTTTTACCAACAAATTAACAATCAACTGGAGAGTTTGAGTGTGGCAAAGTATATGATAAGAAATCGCCCCTTGGCGATTTCTCAAGAATAACCTTATATTTATTCAGTAACATTTTGTGAAATGTAGTTTTCCTGAATTGGCCGCGGTGATAGTGCGTTGCGTCCGACTCACGATCGGAAGGTCGTGTGTGATTCCCGCCTCGACCAGATATTTTTCTCGAGAGAATTTATTTGGTTGAAGCTGGAATGATTCTGCAACCGTGTTAGGAATCACACGTTAAAAGGTAAGATCCCGTTAGTCCTTAGCTCGCACAAGTTTCTCAACTTATGAGAGTTTTCGTTCGTATGGGGGCGGCAGCTGATTAACGGAAAAACAGATATATATACAGTGCATCTTTTTAATGTCACCCCCCTTTTTTAACAGGTCATCTCAAAGAATTGACATTTCAGATAATGAAATTAGTGTATTAATACTTTATTTTGAAGTGAAATTGACAGATGAAGCTTTCAAGATGGCGACTGGGCGCCATCTGGGAAAAAAGAATTGAAAGAAAAGGGGGGGTCTTGTGACACATCTTTTTGAAGTTCCTGACAAATGCTTCACAATCATAGAATATAATGTCAACATCTTCAACTACCACAAAATGGCGGAACTTTCAATAATTGCCTGAACACATTGATATTTAACACATAATATGACTATTACTGGAGTTTTTCCAAACACCAAATCGCTATTTTTAACACCTCGACACGTGTCAAAAGGAAGATTATTCTTCCTCTTGAAGATGATCACTTGGTGATCGAAACACGTGTCGAGGTGTTGAAAATAGCGATTTGGTGTTGGGAGAAAACTCCAGTAATAGGCATTACTACACCAAAGGTTCCAAACAGTGCATCATAAGTACATAATATGAGGTAATAAGCTTGAGGTCAGTTCAGAAGATGCTCGAAATGGTTGCCTTGAACTTCTTGACCTATCCAATATTTCACGCCGAACATTTTCGAACACAGTAACGTCAATATCTCTACAAATATTTATTATTCTCTGCCGTATATCCAATATTGAAGCAGGTTCAGTTTCGTACACCTTTTGCTTCAAATATCCCCATAAAAAATGTCCGAAGATGTCAAATCTGGCGAGCGTTCTAGCCATTCTGTAGGACCTCGGCGGCCAATTCAACGACCGGGAAAAGTAGTATCCAAATAGTTTCTTACTTATCTGGAGTAATGTGGTGGTGCTCCATCTCCAAACAAATATTGTGGAGATAGGTAGGATGCCTTGCAATGGTTTCCGTCATGATTTCGCAGAATTCTGTTCTTCGATCAGGGTCATCTTCAGTTAATTGGTGTACCATTTTAATATTGTATGGATGATACCTATTCCTCTTCAAAAGTCTCCACACAGTAGAAGGATACACCTCACAAACATTCGCGATGGAATAAGTAGACTGTTCAAGATTTACTATCACACCAATTATTTGCATTTGCTGTTTTTCCGGAATGGACGGATGACCTGGGGGCTTTTTGTTATGTACACTACCGGTAGTTGTGAATTCAGATACAAGTTCCCTCAAATATTTTCTACAGATAGGACGATTCGAAAAACGTTCATTGAAAATCCTTTCGGTCTCGTGAAAGTTACGCGTCGCATCGTAAATAAAAATCGCTTCAACTTTTTCTTCCATTGGACGAAAATTGACCATTTTAGAAATTGTTGACGTGGTACCTTTCTACTTGTAAAACCGAAAACTGAATGAGAATATTCTAACTGAACAATGATGTTCATTGTCGTACTGACATTTTTTGTCGTTTTTATAAACAAAAAATAATTTAACAAACCTTATCGGGTTGTTGGAATTGCCATATGGCAGATAAAAAGGAATATTTCTAGAAATATCGATATTAATGTGTTTGTCTTCAGGAAATTATTAAATGTTCCGCCATTTTGTAGTAGGTGAAGATATTGACTTCATATTCTAGGGTTGTGAAGTATTCGTCAGAAGCTTCAAAATGATGTGTCATAAGACCTCCTTTTCCTTTTAATTTTTTTCCCAGATGGCGCCCAGTCGTCATCTTGAGAATTTCATCTGTCAATTTGACTTCAAAATAAAGTATTCATGCATTAATTTCATTATCCCAAATTTCAATTTTTTGAGTTGACCCGTTCAAAAAATTAAAGTGGGGGACATTAAAGAAATGCAATGTATATGACAAGCCTTTGTAGTATTTAGGTGTGGTTTCAAATAAACGACATTCGGTTTTGAAAACTACTCAAAAATGTTAAAAAAGAGTCAGTGGTTGAATAGCGACATTGAAGTATTGAAAACCTCAATTTTGTGTTTGACTTATTATTACTCAGGAGAGATTTAACATAGTCCGTCTTATCGCCAAAAACCCTTCAAAGTTATGAAATTACTGCAACGGAATTGCTGACAAGTCGGGGTTTGAAGCAGCTGAACTGTCCTATAATAATTTCATTATTTGACAAAATGCCTAAACTCGTTGAGCAAAATATTATGCCTTTTTACGTGAATGTTTCCCGACCACGACATCTTGTTCCATTCAAAAGTTGAGAGGGGGGATATAACTAACACATTTGTGCCGAAGTAGATGATTTACCTGGTATATTTTACATAGATATGCTTCAAGACCAGCAGGAGCAACATAATGGCCACTGTTATTCCGCAAAAAACAATGATTTCCCATTTAACCCACTTGAAGACGTTTGGTATAACGAAAGGAACGAAATCGTTATCAATGTATTTTTTATGATATCTGTCCCACATGATTTTCAAATGAAACTCGTTAAGCTGGTAGCCTTTCCACATTGAAACAGCATTGTTCTCCAGAACGATTGGAATTCCGAAGGTTATCTTAGCGCAGGTTTCATATTCAGGCCATTTGGCAGGGCACCGGTCTACTCTTCTGATAACGACATTGTTGATTCTAAAAAAAAAAAGGAATGAAAAACACTTTTTTAGTAGTTCACAGATTTTCATAAATATCCACAACAAGCATTGCTGCTGAACATCACAATTGCAACACTCTTTTCGACGCCCGTTTCACCTGCCAAGTTGGCGTAGGTATTCAGAAGATGGAGTACTCTAGAAGAGTGTTGCAGTTCTGTTGTTTGGGAAAAGTGGGTTTTGGATTGACGTGTTTCATGCTATGGAAAATGATACTGGTTTGCTTGTAGACTGATCAAGTTAGGAGTATATTATACTTATCAAGCCTAATCGGTCCCAAAATCTCTTATATTTGCAGAAAAAAGAACAATTCGAAAAGTAAGAATTTAAATTGGCCGCGTGTCTGTTGACCAATAAAAATGATCGAGTCTAGAGCGGAGTTGCCAAGTGTATTGGTTTTTAATATCCAATCACAGATATGATGATCCAATTTGACAGACGCCATTATTGTTGTTATTGTTGTCAACTCGCTGTGAATACAACTGTTACAATAATCTAATCAAAGAACGTAGGTAAGTCTCGACAGGTGCCTATTTTGTTGCATATTCCGTGGCATTAGTTTAGGTACATTCCGAAAAATATTTTTTCAGGTTATTTTTGGATTGATATGTTCTGGAGTAATTCTACATTTCACTGTACATATTTTTGCTTCTCTTTTCAGTCACCATATTGCTCCTTGGCCGAGATAAAATAAAAATTAAATCAAAACTTTCCATCCTNTAATCATAGGCTCCGTAAATTTTACGATTTGGCAATGTTGATTATTTCTATTGTTCCTATTGGTCAATCGAACAAGAAGCGGGAATAGGGGCGTGACGTCACCTCCCTACCACATTCGATGTTTAATAATTAATTACCGGAAAACTACGGTACTTGGAGAGATGAAACAAAGTGCACTGTTTTTCAATTTAAAATTTCTATTAAGTGAACCATAAACCAAAAATCATGAAACAAGCCCATTCATTCTACGCCAGAGATTCTAGTTCTACGTTTCAGTTTCAAAAAAATGCTGACAAGCTCTTCAACGACGAACAAATTCCATACCTTACCAGCATTGAAGGCAGTAACAGTAAAATTCATTACGTTCGATATTTTTGATGTTATGAAATTGATAATATTCGAAATTTGACTTTGGCACTAAGTTCTGATTTAATCAAAATGAAAAATAATCAAAAAAGTGTAGTCACTTGACTCATACTAGTCAAATTTTAATTATAAAAAACAGAAATGGTGTGAATTTTCAAAAGTTGAAGAAGATGATTTTTACGTTCTACCATTTTTGGTAAATTGCATCAATGATGGAGAAAGTAATTTGTGTCTGAAAGTATAACATTATAATTAGGACAAACATGTATCTTATGAAATAGAAATAACCGTTCATTATTAAGTGTATTTTCAAAAAAAAGGTTGACAGGATGATAACCAAAAACTTGATCAGTTAAATCCCTAGCTGTTCAGGGACAGGTTATATTGTAATACTTAGCAAAGGCTACGTTTTCTAGTTTTTTCTTTTTTTTTCGATAATAGAAAAGTTCATGTTAGTTCAGAAATTTAAAGGCCAAACTCGCGCCTTGTCAAATTTAATGACGACTGAGAATACAACGTCGAAGCAAAAATTAACGGTTGTAGATCGACCAGCCGGGAAATGTTTACAAAAACCACCTATGTTCCATCAATAAAGCGCTCAGTTAAGGAAATAATCAACTTATTGGGCCGACAAGGGGAGAAAAAAATATATCAGCTTTCAGACCATGTATATATAGGTCTCTCAACTAACCGCAATATGGTTTTTCCGCTGAACCACGTCGTGTGTGGGCCTGATTGATGAGAACGACAGAAAATTAACGACCATCTTAACTAAGCTTTACTGAGCTAGTTTCATCTTCTTCTTGAAGATGATCACTTTATATTTTTGAATATAGTAGTATTAGATTGGAAACCGAATCTTCTTCCAGAACCTAGCAAAGTAAACTCTTAGAAAGAAGTGTCTGCGAATTCTTAAGATCAGTTTCAACGGNTCAATTTGAATTCCATGTTAATACGTTATCGACTTCAAAATATATTAGTGACAGATTCAGAAAATCTCATAGTTAGGTCGTTATCTTGCGATAAATACTGTTTTGATAGCTGCTCTGGAGCTTAAAGCTGTGAAAAACGTTTCGGAAATAGTGATAGCGAAAGTCTGATATGACGGGCTCTGAGAAGGTATCATTGGAGAGTCAGCAATCCCTTGTTCATCTCAAGTTGGACAAATAATAGCTATTTTCAAATGGAAATTGTTTCTTTCGATCCTTCTATTTAGACGGTGTGATGCTCCAGCTTATTCTGAAAGATTGATGGAACTGGTTCTAATATGTCTCACATGGGAAACTCACCTAGTTTTTATAGATAATCAAATCGTAATGGAGGATCTTTATTGATAACCTTAATAATCTTGTAAAGGTTTTATCAGCGTAAGAAATGGCCTGTCATTGTTCATATAATATGTTGAGCAAGAATAAGGATCATACCAATGAAGATCGAAGTTGTAAAAAACTGGCTTAGACCAAAGGATAATCCAAAGTGTTCTTAGACTTTTCATATTTTACAAAAAACATTTAGAGTTCCGACGAATCGCCAAACCCTTCCACCATATAACAAAAATCAACATCCAATGATGTTCCGAATGCTAGTAATCTTCAAATAAGTTGGAAAACAAGCTAACGAAAACACATATTCCTATCCCAGGAGCAAAGGAGCGGAACTTCTCGCTGTACTGAAATCCCCGAGCATCTTACTTACTGAGACGTTAATTTACTGTGAAAACTAACAATGCTCTTCAATGAAATATGAACTTTAAGAAGCTTGATCGCGAACTTGCATGGTGGCTTGAACAACTATTTCCGGTAAATGCACCGCAGTAGTCAAACAGCAATACTAAAACTGCCAGGGACTGGAAAATAGAAAAGTTCCTAACCAATAGAAAATGCATTACAGTGAGCTGATACGGGCCATAACAGTAATAGTAAATTTGGAAAGAGCGGATCTATAGATGACAGAGGAAATGAGTAAAAGTCTGAATTTGGTGCAAAGCTTGATTATCAAAGGAGTTAGATCTGCTTAGCAGCAAGTCTTCAAGAGTTTGGTAGAACAACTCCATAGTAGCTGAGCTACACTTTGGCATTGAAAGTAACTTGTAGAATTCAAAAGAGGTAGTACTAGGTCAATCGTTGCCATATTGTAGAGAAATCGGTGCGACCTTTGCAATTAAAGAGAAGATGCCACATCGAGAAGACGAGAAAAAATGACAGAATATTGTCGGGAACCCCCTTCCAGAGGGTCACGGTAGATATATTTCGTCCTTGAAAGAGGACATAGACATAGAGGCTTCATTCAACAACTTCGTTGCTAGACATATAGAGTACAGTGCTACATTTCAATAACGGATGACATTTTAAGTCGCGAAAAGGAAAAATTTGAAGTATAAGGTGGTGTATCATTTGACATTCATTCTGATTTTTGAAGAGAATTTGGAAAGTTTGCAGTTGGGAAAATTCCGAAATTCCGAGTATATTCGGAGATATCCGAAAAAAAAACAGAAATTTCGGAAAATTGTTTTTATTTTTTTCCGGCTTTATTTTTTAAAGGATTCGAAAATAAATTGCACTTCCACATTGTCACTTTTTCCCTGCTACATAATGGTGTTTTCAAATTTGCTATCCGACATTTCGTCTTCCGGCCACCATCATCAACTTTATTTTTTATGGGCGCTACATTGGATTCTTTCTGTTTTGAATAGAACCAGATTCTACCTTTTCAAAGATGCATCAAAAGTTATCATTCTTTTTCGAAGAATTGGAGATATTGAAAAAAATTAATTCTTATCATAATAGGCTTTGACTTTGATGTTTTTTAATTTGAATTTCAATTTGTTACGCTCAATGATATTTTGTTATTATACAAGTCATTGAATTTTTGGCGAAAAATGGCTTTCACGAATGAAGAAAAAAGAAATATGATACAAATTCATTACAAATACGATGGAAACAGTGTTAGGACATCGGAAATGGATTTGAACCTGTATCCCGAAAGACGACAACCACGTTCAAGTTATGTTCAACTATGTTCAAGTTATTTGATCAAAATGTCACCGAGTTTTTTCATGGGTGTTGTTGATATCACCATACTGTGCCATGAAAATACCTAAATTAATTCACTCACATGGTTTTTGATGGAATCTGCCGATACTTGATGAAAATTCATAACGTATTTAAAAAACACTCGATTTTGAGATTTTTACTAAACGGTTTTACAAAAACGTAACACGTGTTTCGCCATACACGCCCGAAGAAGCCATTGCATGTGTGTTTACGTAGATCTGTTTAGTGAGAATTTTAGAATGAATTATTTTTTGAATAAATCACTTATATAACTGGCTCAATTATCAATAATATTTCCATCCAAATTTTAGGATATTCATCAGTTTCTTATGATTTTCAACTTAACGAGCCGGTATAAGAAGATACGCACCTGATTTATGATTAATTTTATTTCATTACTGAAACTTGGAACTGACAATCTGAAAAGTATTTTGAGATAATTTCTATATTTCATTACACCAGCAAGATTGCAAAAACTCGTTAATTCAAATTTGAGACCTTTTTGAAAATCATAGTTGACAAGTGTTTCTCATGTCAAAGAAATGATTAGTGAAAACGTTTAGGTAACACATTAGTTTTTGACCATTACTCTACGAATCAAATTTGTTGTGATTTCGTCGAAATCATTGAAATGGCCTGAAAACTACACACCAGCTCTGCATTTGAAAATGTAGGACCCTCGAATCATTGGAAATGAAAGACTGTATTGACCATAAACCAAGAAGGGTTATAATCTTTTCTGTCACGATATTTGTTTCGGAGAAAAAGGTCATTCGTTTACTGTTATTTTTGAATAAACAAAATGATAGAAATACTTCATCTATTTTTCTGAACTCGTCGGATTTGATTACAATTCAATAAGCTAGGTTAGGTTACTTGGCTGTTTCTAAGTTCAAAATAGGTTTTCGGAAATATATTACAGCTTGTTATAATTTTCATTTCATTTCGACTTGAATATTTTCATATGCATACATCTTCAACAAAAATTATTTCTAAATGTGTAGGTACTCACCAACTCGCGAAAAATTCGCATGAAATATGCTGGTTCCTTTCCCGCCGTAATCAGCGTATAATACATTATTGTTGAATAAATATGAAGGCTTACTCTTGACCTTGTAGGTAAACAAGAGACCTTCCCCTTGTATACCTAAAAAATAAATTCAGAAAACTTGATAACTAGAGAGACGTTATATAGTAGTCGTTGAAAATCTATTGGTTGTACTTTATTCAATCCTAACAGGTTGCGTCGTTGATATTCTTGTGAAAAAATGAATCGGTGTTTTTATCAGTGGAAATTTAATTTTTTATCTACTTTGCAAATTTCACATTCAATTTTATTGCAATTTCTGAGGAAGGCGTTTTCTTACTTTTTGAGTTGCTTGTGTATAACTCCAAATATAAATCCAATAACACTTTTTCCAATTACCAGAAATAAAAACACTCTTCTCAACGCGTTGGTTACTTGATGAAAATTAATAACACCATACATAATAATAATTATACAAGTTTCATTCAAGACGCGTTACATGGTAGCTTCAACAGTTGAACAGTTGGACTGATATGTCAAACTATACTACGATACCTTTAATATAATCGTATAATACATTATTGTTGAATAAATATGAAGGCTTACTCTTGACCTTGTAGGTAAACAGGAGACCTTCCCCTTGTATACCTAAAAAATAAATTCAGAAAACTTGATAACTAGAGAGACGTTATATAGTAGTCGTTGAAAATCTATTGGTTGTACTTTATTCAATCCTAACAGGTTGCGTCGTTGATATTCTTGTGAAAAAATGAATCGGTGTTTTTATCAGTGGAAATTTAATTTTTTATCTACTTTGCAAATTTCACATTCAATTTTATTGCAATTTCTGAGGAAGGCGTTTTCTTACTTTTTGAGTTGCTTGTGTATAACTCCAAATATAAATCCAATAACACTTTTTCCAATTACCAGAAATAAAAACACTCTTCTCAACGCGTTGGTTACTTGATGAAAATTAATAACACCATACATAATAATAATTATACAAGTTTCATTCAAGACGCGTTACATGGTAGCTTCAACAGTTGAACAGTTGGACTGATATGTCAAACTATACTACGATACCTTTAATATAACGGTAGGTAATTACAAAAAGCATAATTAGATAAATGCTGAATTCTGATGAAATAGGTAGATTTAGAAAAAACAATTACAATACAATAATACTTCTATTTTATGCCAAAACTCAATCACATAACATAAAATTCCAATAATTAACATATTCCTAAATTACCTAAAAAAAATTCTAGAAGTAATTTTGTATTATGATTGTTTTTTCAAAATGTAGTTCTTTTACCAAAGTTAATAATTTAACTAACCTAACCTAAACTAACCTAAAAAATTCTAGAAGTAATTTTGTATTATGATTGTTTTTTCAAAATCTAGTTCTTTTACCAAAGTTAATAATTTAACTAATTGAGTTTTGTAATTATCTACTATTATATAGAAGACATTATAGAATAGTTCGATGTACCAGTCCGACTGATGAAGATGAATTTTTTGAGACACGTTGTGTCCTCAAAAAGAAATGAAATGGATTAAGAGAAAATCAATGCAGTGTAAGAATGGCCAACACCGAAGAACAGGCACGACGTAAGAAGTTTCCTTGGACTCTGTTGTTGGGTTAGGTTAGGTCCAAAGTGAGTGGGTCTATTCGCAACCCGCAAAGGTTTATTGTGGCTCACACCTATTCACACTCTACCAAATAAATCCAGCTTCTTAATGAAGCCGACTAGTTTATATGGCGATTGATCTTTCAGGTCAGATAGTGAGAGTGTGGCTCTGCCAATATCTAAAAACCTGATTCGGTTCCCAGCGGGGCAGGCACAAAGTATTTGCTCTGCTGTTTCATCATTTTCCAAACAGAGGCGACACACACACTTTTCCGACAGTCCGAGTCTCAGCATATAATGATTCAAATGTGAGAAGGCCTATGCGACATCGTAGTTCATCCATACTGTAGTCCAACAAATCTCTGATCTAAAAAAAATTTGTTTTTCCGTTAACCAGCTGTCGCACCCCTACGAACGACAACCCTCAGAAGTCGAAACTTGTACGAGCTAAGGATTAACGAGGTTTTACCTTTTAACGTGTGATTCCTAACACGGGTTGGACGATAGCAAGTGAAGATCGATCGTTCAGACTAGGGTGTGAACCACCGATCAACACGACAGTCAATTCGAGTGAGTGAACAAAGCACCCACGCCGAACCGCTTGGCTACCGACCGCTGGTATCAAGCTTCGAAGGGTGAATGAACGTCTTGGAGTAAGCCAATCCTGAAAGATTCTGCCAGAAGTCCATAAATCTTCTTGCCGGCCAGGAGTTCAATGTTTGTTAGGCAAAGTCTAAAGCGATGTCGATGACAGGTTCTTTTGCAATCCAGACCAGAGACAATCTGTTGAGTCTTCCTATCGAAGACAGTCTTTTTTTGGTAATTTGCTACCAATTTAGACGTTGCTCGGTAGGAGCCAAGTGCTTCCAACGCCGCTNCACAAGTTTCGACTTCTGAGGGTTGTCGTTCGTAAGGGTGCGACAGCTGGTTAACGGAAAAAACAGATTTTAAACAGATTCACATTCTGAACTGTCCTCTTGGGTCGGGAAGCCTGGCTTATATAGTGTAACGGTTCTTTCTAGAAATCTGTAGTCGGTTCGATACTCGATTAGAGTTTTACCGGCGGTTGCCGACTGCATTCTTTCGCGGTGATGTCATGTGTTTTTTCGCTGGCCGGCATATCGGTTAGGGGCTGATTTAGATTCATTACAATATTTTCGGGGTTTATTCGGTGTAGTGTTTAGATAGGGGATCTAATGAGAAATTTGTTCGACGCACATATACTGTCCATTTTAGTATTTTAATATTTATTTGAGGAAATGCTATGAACAATTAACATGACAATTGATCACGAAGATAAATAACTGAGTAGCCATCTCAGAAAAAATATTCTTGCTCCAAATGAAATCCTTATCTGATATGGTGTATTATGTATTTTTTCCTGAATGGCATGTGAAATTGAATTTACATTGTTAGTAATTGTGCACGAAAAATTGGTATTGTCTATGTATAATTATTTCGAGATTTAGGAAAATCATAGAAAGCGCTTCTCAATAACATGCTAATTTTTCGTGTTCATATATGTATTCATTTTGAGAAAAAAAATTATGAACAAATGTCCTAAACGACTTTTAAGTATTCAAAGCAAAATAATTATCAGCTATAATATCCCAAGGACATTGATAACTAACGAAATAATTTTATAACAGTTTTCGAAAGCACGTTATTTGGTAACATCCCGACGCCTCCATTGCCAATCTCTCGGTTATCTTTCCAGTTAGATGAAAAGGACTAACTGAATTGAATTTTTTACGTAATTTCAAGGTTGTCTGAAGGTAGTTTACTCCTGCACAATTGTTAGTTTTTGTTTTCTCCTAAGTGATGAACAATTGTTTTTTAAATTTGATATGTGTTGATTTTAGGATGATGCAAACCCATGATAAAAATTGTTTCCATTTGCAGGGAAGAATTAGAGAAGCAAGCTGGCAACAGAAATGGGTATTTTTTTTGAAGCTAGAAAACCATATATTCGAATATTTAAGAGTAGTTTACTCTAGCATCCATTGATAATGTTTAATTCTTCCTATAGGGTAGAAGTCGTTTCAATTTATATGTGTATTTTCTAGGTTTAGGATGAAGCAGACATTTTTTGTATCCAGTATAGAGTGTGTTCGACTTTTCATAAATCCACTGGCCAGAATCATAAGCCGTGAAGAGTGGAAGACCATTAGTCATCCCGAAAACATATTTGGGAAACAAAATCTGTATCTGTTTTTCCGTTAACCAGCTGTCGCACCCCTACGAACGACAACCCTCAGAAGTCGAAACTTGTGCGAGCTAAGGATTAACGAGGTCTTACCTTTTAACGTGTGATTCCTAACACCTGGTATACAGATGGATCGAAGACCAAACATGGAACGGGAGCTGGAATATACCGAGCGGATATAAATTTGAACTACAGCTCTCCGCTGGGACTATACACATCCGTCTTCCAGGCGGAAGTATATGCTATCTTGCAGTGTGCAAGGCTCATTGAATTGAGACCTCAAAGTAATGAGCGGATCAATATTTTTACAGACAGCAAGAGCACACTAGGGGCTCTGACAAACCCGAAAGTGACATCAAAACTGGTCTGGGAATGCCATGAAGAACTGAATGAACATGCAAACAGGAATAAATTAACTTTGTACTGGGTGCCAGGGCATTCAGAAATCACGGGTAATGATAAAGCTGATGAATGCGCTAGACGCGGATCATCAACTTCACATATATGTCCTAAACCAGGTCTGGGGTACCAAAATCATTGATACGAAACTAGATTGGGACATGGACCAATAAGAAGCACACCGAGTACTGGACAAAAGTACCTGGCAATAACCACAGTAGAACCTTCATTAGGGAACCGTCCGAGAAAAGAACCGAAGAACTACTTCAATATAGTAATATATTGTAATATATTGTAATATATAATTGCACTGTACCCAATCTGAATTTATACATTATACATTATCCATCATAGTAGGGCTCAGAATAATAACAGGGTTACTAACCGGTCATTGTCCGCTTAGAGGACACCTGAATAAAATGGGGCTGTATAACGGAGACCTCAGCTGCAGATTATGTAACGAAGGGATAGAAACAGCTCTACACATCTTATGCGAATGTGAGGCACTGAATTACAGGAGGCAGGCAATATATGGACGTACGAAATTACGTCCAGAAGAATATGACGAACATCCAACACGAAACCTATACAAACTAGTACAGGAAACAAGACTGATGGAATGGGTGTCATGAGAAGAATGGAGAATAAACGCAATAAGCCTAAGAGGCTGCAGTGTTTTCTGGAGACTTGGACTAAATGGACAAGTCAGACAGCTCCCAAGGTAAAAAAAAGTGTGTGTGAGATAAAATCGACATTTTTCAATCATTTGAAAGACCTATTGATGCCATTATGTGTGGAATATAACATCGATCAAATGTCCGCCACGGCTTCTTTGGGTGGGGCGCATCCGAAACATCCAATTTTCTATGACTATGGTGCATAAATCAGGCTGAATTTGATCGATGACATGGGTCACCGCTGTAGTTTGTGGCTTATTTGCTTATTCCTGCGACTCAAGACAACCTCACAAGAAAAAGTCTAACAGGCTCAAACCGCACGATCTCGGTGGCCAGTTCACATCACCTCCACGTGACATAACCATGCTCTCAAATCGCTCCTGCATACTATTCAATGTGGCTCAAGCTGTGTAGCACGTAGCACGTCCTGTTGAAACCACATGTCGTTGATGTTCAGATCATCCAGTTCAGACCAAAAGAAGTTGGATCTCATCACCTATAGTGACAGTGATGACCTGGCCAACGTCGTTCTCAAAGAAATATGGACCGATAACGCTGCCAACTCAAAATCCACTCCAAACAGTGACTTTTTCAGGATTTCATTTGGATTGGTATCGTCCCAAATTTGACAAATGTATTTGTTCACGTACCCGTTCTTCCAGAAATGGGTCTCATCGCTGAAGGTGATTTCTCGATGAAAATTAGGGTCAGTTGCTAACTGCTCTAGAACTTATTCAGCAAACACACGTCGTTGTCTATGGTCGTTTACCTTCAGTTCCTGGGTCAGTTGAATTTTGTACGGTTGCAGGCCCAAGTCACGATGAAAAATCCACCAAATTGTGGTCTGCAAAAGGCCGAGTTCTTGTGAGTGATGCGAAGTCGACTGCTTAGGATTATCCTGCACACTCTCACAGACATTGCGAATAGTTCTTTTGGTAGGACTCCAGTAGAATTCACTGTGGTAGGACGATTATAGCGACCGTAAAATGGGCGAAGCGCGGTACGTTGCTCGAACAAAACACCCATTTTTATAAAACATTTTCACGTGTTGTTGAATGATATATCCATCCATGGTGATTTGATAAAACAAACCTAATGAATTACAACTGATTTAACAGATGTAGCTTCAACAAGAGGCCATTATCAATTTTTATCAAAGTTCGGAATTTCCTGTGGGAAAACCATATATATAGAAGCCGTTTTTTTCATCATGTGGTAACATTAATATATTCTAAGCCGTAACAGATATGAAGACGATTACATGGGAAAAAAATAACTAGCGTTAGGAACAGTACAATGGTCGTAAAAAATTTACGGGAACTTTCGTCCTTCTCGGGTTATACAGGGAAAACTGAAATACTGTTTTTCGTTTTTCACTAAATTAATTGTTATTTCAGAAAATATATAAACAAAAAGATTTTTTTATTGTATTCGAAATGTACTATAACGATAAAACAATAAATCATTGATTAACATTTCGTGTCAACACGGCCACCATCAGCTTTTTTCAAATACGGGCCTGCGTCTTTTATTACAAATATTGATGAAGTTATAAAATCGCAATTCAGTGATGTATCACATTTGCTATTTTCGTAGAGCTTCATTTGGAATGAATAGCAGCATCATCACTGACAACAATCAAATAGAAAAACAATTTATTCTTTAATGGATATTTGGAGAAAAATAAAAACAATACTGAACATGAATTCTACATGACAAACTATGCTCGAATTGACGACTACTTTATTGAATTCACATTAGTTGGTCTGTCCATGTAATTTCTGTAGCAATTTTCTATAGTACTGATTATGTGAGATAGTTGAGCTAGGTGTATACCCAGACATTGTTCCATTGCTTCCAATCCATTGTGTTTGTGGAAAAATTGCATTTTAATGTTTCTTTACTATTGATGTTCAGCGGCAATTCATCTGAGCAGCTATCAAACTCATTGGATAAGAAAATCCAACTACATTTTGCCATTTAAATGCTCATCATAGTATGTTTGTTCTCAAAATTTCCAACCGAACATTTCAGTTAAACCAATCATTTTTGGTGAATTTTGATTCGTCCGTCCATAAATTTTTTACAAATATTTCCAACTTCCCTTTTTCTGCGACTCAACCACTTCGCGAATCGTGATACCTTTCATTAAGGTGATGAACTTTACGAAACCTGAAGCATTGTTATTTGTTTCTTTCAAAATATTTCTGGTAGATTTTAAAGAAATTGATAGTTCGTGGCAATGTCTCGCAAAGAACAATCTTGATTATAAATATTTTTGTGACTGAAAAATTGGAAGAAAACGTTTTTTCACTTTGTTAATATTTATGAGGTAACATTTGCTCACCCAAAATATTTATTTGGTTGTTCACACTTCTAGTAACAACACATTTTCTTTTTTATTTTTATCAAATGCTGGATGTTAGAAATACGACGATTCGGGAAGCCAATGTGGCCTTACGGACGGGGTCACCGGACTCCTGGTCAGTGGCAGAAATAAGTAGAGTGAGGGGAACCAAAACTCCCCAAAGCCTTTGCGTAACATGCCACCTTGGACCAGTCTACCCAAGCTAAGGTGTAAGGACTCGTGCTGACAGCTGAATGGCCGCAGGGTGATATGCGGTTACGAACGATCCCCTTGGGAAAACGGGCGAAACCTCATTGTAATCAGCCTTTCTATGGTAATGCGGGGCTCTGCCAGAGTGACAACTCTTCTCCTGCTACTCGTGGGAACACACATGAATGAAACAAACACAAAAACAGACACTGAAGAAACAAAAACCAATCCCGAGACTGGACAGAAATGTTCACCTCAATCTATGGCGGTGGCTGGGGATGAACAGAAATGTCCACCCCAATCTACCACTTGGAATGAGGCTGGACATGGCCGATCACCTCGTGATAAAATAAAGGCTAAGGCTTAAGCGCATTTGTGGCGTCGAGGCCAAAAGGAGAAAGAGAGTGATAGAGGCAGGAGTGGCAGCAACTATAAGGGCATCCTCCTCCTCCCCCACTTCACCTCCAACAGCAAGGGCACCACTTCCTGCGGCGGGCGCCAAGAGCTCCGCCTTGAATAAAGGCAAGGAACAGGCTGCCCCTGCAGGATAGCGCTCTTACTTAAGCACCTCCATGGACGGAATCCCAAGAAGGTTGAAGAAGCCGCGTAACGACAGTAATGTCGCTGTACCTTCCAAAACCTTCACGAAGGCCGCCGTGAGACACCTCAAGGTTGTCAAAGAGAGTGTGTGCTCGGCCTACACCTGCCGATATAAAGGAGTGACCTGTCCACCTTCCTGAAAAGTACAAAATGGAAGATGACCTAGGAGGACAACTCCTAGGGAGGATGTACAATGGGTCACATATGGCCTAAGTGCTGTGGGTCTACACTCACCCTCCCTACTCTACAGATATAGATACAGAACATATCAGTCCATTTGTCATTTGAGTACTTCTTCGAAATGTACCTAACAGAGTGCATAAACGTCTGACAGTGTTAATAGATATCAACAACTCATTTATTTTTCCCATAGAAATCAAGCAAAGCTTGATGAAGTGAGATGCTATCTAATTGTACCAAATTACACAACAATCGCTTTTGGATAAAAAACTAACATTTTCGTTACTTCCAGCAATCAACTTTCAGAAATAGTAACTTGAAAAAAGTATAGATAGAATGAAACGGTAACCGGTTTGGAGCAGCAATTCCAATGACCAAATATCTCGGAATTTGTGCTGACACTTGACGTGAAAATAGTTAATTATTCTCGCCTCTCTGGCATGCAGATTGTGTAGGATGCTTCCATTTACAAGGTACGCTTCTTTCATGTATGTTTGCATATTGCATGACCAAAACCAAAAAATGGAATCGTTCTCTTTGAATTTTCCAAGCCTTCTAGGTTTCAAATAAAAACAAGCGAAAAAGCATGTTGTGTAATCAATATTGCTAATAAAACCACTATCCTCACCTGACTCTATAGTGGCTAGTTCACCCTTGGTTCCATCTATATTACAGTCAAGAATGGTAACGGCAATCTTATATCCTTCTTCTGCTTCTATAATAACAGACTCACTGGACTTTGGATTCCATTCAACGCTTCTGGTGTCATCGTTCATGGCCAAAATAGGGGTTGGGGCAGGTGTCGTTGTAGGAGTAGTTGATGGCGTAGTTGTAATTGTTGGAGTAGTTGTAGTTTTTGGAGTTGTAGTTGTTGGGGTAGTTGTAGTAGGTGTTGTAGGAGTTTCTGAAGGTGTAGATGGGGTTGATGAAGCGGGAGACGTTGTACCAGAAACAGATGTGGTAGCTGAAGTAGAAGACGAAGTGCCATTGGCAGTGGTGTCGGTTGAAGTAGAGGTCGAGTCGGAAGTGAGAACCGAAGTATGAGATGTGAAGGTAGTCGTCGATTCACTTATCGGAGATGTCGGACTAGTGTAAGGTGTAGATAGGGTAGTTGAAGCGGAAGATGATGTAGAGATAGAAGATTCAGGGACAGATGTGGTTGCTGATGTAGAAGACAAAGAACTAGAACCAGTAGTGTCAGTTGGAGTAGTGGTCAAATCGGAAGTGAGAGCCGATGTCGGAGATGTTGAAGTAGGCGTCAATCCACTTATCGGAGAAGTGGGAATAGTTGGAGATGTAGATGGCGTTGTTGAGGCGGAATAGGATGCTGACGCATTAGTTGTAAGGGACGTGGAGATAGAAGTAGGAATGGTGACTGCAGTAGAAGACGAAGAACCAGTAGTGTCGAGGGGATTTTGAGCGTTTGTCGTTTGAGGCCATGCTGAAAAAGCACACAGAAAATAAGAGAAGGTTACTTCGAAATTCTTAAAAATTCGGATTTAATATACTACATTCAATGTGATGACAAAAAATTACATAATTGCACTTAGCAAAAATTCATGAAGCTGCTTTCTTTAGGAAGTTTCAATACAGTTATAACCTATCAAAATATATGTAAGCATGTATTCTTTTACCAATACTGAAGAGATACAAATATAAGGGCTGAAATTACCTACAGAATGTATGTATTTTTTATTCAACAAAACAATAAAAAACTATGGAATAATATTGTTTGTTCTTGTCTACTTTTTTTATAAATAAATCACTAATTATTTTTCAGTTCTGCCTTGAATTTGATGTGTATACCAATCTACTTTGTCTTCTGCCCCAAGATAATTCGACAACAGTGGAGAAAATCTTGAAATTCCTGTATGAAGGCAATGAGACAACAAATTCAAGATCAGTAAGAATCTCCAAGCCCATTTTAGCTGAACTACGTCCAACCACTGATGCAGCAAATTTCCACTTCCTGAGCACATATCTTCATGTCATGAAATGCACGGGGATTATCGATATCCCAATCGAGTGAGGATAATGTGGAAGAACTCTAGGATTAGAACATTGGAACCCATCAGGATAAGACCAGAGTTTTCATGATTTGAGTTATATGATTTAAATCATGATTCAAATGGCGATTTGAAATACATGTTTTTTGAAATTTTGATCACTGATTTGAGTTAAAAATAAATTTAATGAGCAAAAATTAAAACACTTACACTAAAACACTTATCACCAAATCACCATTAGAATTAGACAGACACAATTATAAAATTAGTCTACATCTTCCAAAAAAAGCATAATAAATTTAAAAATCAATACACCCTGCTTTTATAAGTTCTGTTTCGCCTCGAAACAAGTCGCAACCGAGCCAGTTTTCTAACGAGGATAAACCTATCCAAGCCGAAACAATTTGAAACAGGATATGTCTTGTCAGGAGAAACATTATTTCAAACTATTTTATAGAATACATTCTACAGCCTACCTATTTGATATTTTCCGATCAGACTTCAGAAAAAACGAGTTTAAGTTAATTTCTATTGCGAAACAAAATGGATGATTAGAAGTTATATGATAGAAAGAAGTTTTCAGGAGAATATAAAATAAGTTATTTCATAATTTATTGAAAAAATAAAAAAACTGATTTTTTATTCAGATTAAAAAATCAATGATTTTTTATTTTGAAAGAAATCATGATTTTTGCCAACTCTAGTGAAACGGTACTACCCCAAACTTGCTCAAATCCATCTTGTGCAGATCACATTTAGCCTAATGAGAGCTTGTGGCTGTATAAAATNCTAAGCGATGAACAATTGTTTTTTAAATTTGATATGTGTTGAGTTTAGGATGATGCAAACCCATGATAAAAATTGTTTCCATTTGCAGGGAAGAATTAGAGAAGCAAGCTGGCAACAGAAATGGATATTTTTTTTTAAGCTAGAAAACCATATATTCGAATATTTAAGAGTAGTTTACTCTAGCATCCATTGATAATGTTTAATTCTTCCTATAGGGTAGAAGTCGTTTCAATTTATATGTGTATTTTCTAGGTTTAGGATGAAGCAGACATTTTTTGTATCCAGTATAGAGTGTGTTCGACTTTTCATAAATCCACTCCCATATCTTTGTTTTTCAGAATGTAATTTCGAAAATATTTGGAATGGTGTATATGAAGAATTCCTTCAAATTGACTGAATCAAAATTTTCTATTCTATTCTAGCTATAGCTTCCTGCGTGACTTCCGAATCTGGAATATAAATATTCTCAGATATCAACGAGTGCATTTGATGTAAATCAAAAGGAGGAAATCTCGCGGACATAACACCCAAAAAGTCAAACCACGGACAAGTTTTTCTGGCTACTACCCTCATCAGCAGGCAAGTGCAAAGATGGGCAACCCCTGTTGATGACTTCGTGCATATGTGATGTGTTCAATTCTTGGTATCCAGGTTTTGCACTTGGTTGCACCACGTTGCGGTGCACCTTTCATTAGGCACTTTTTATCTCTTAATTTAAATAAAACAAAGTGTGTGTGAGACTAAATTCAATTCAATTCGGTTTATTGTCCCAAGAAACAATGAATGCTTATAATTAGGGACTATAACTAACTACAAAGTATAATAAAATAACATAAATAACATACTTTACAATGAACACATATTATATCTAGAAAAAAAATACCAATGAAATGCAGTCAAATAATGAAATTGGACTAAAGGAACTAAAGATGACTAAAACAGAGGGTTTCGGACCTCTAAAACTTCGAGGTGAAGAAATACAAGTGTCGGGGGAGGTTAAATATCTGGGAGTAATTCTAGATTGCAAACTGACCTGGAACCAACACTTGGACAGGATAAAGAGGAAAGCGGAGGTAGCACTGATGTTCGCCAGACGCACCTATGGAAAAACATGGGGGCTAAAACCAGACATGGTATATTGGCTTTACACGATGGTGATTAAACACATGATAATATACGCATCTCTGGTCTGATGGCGAAAGATGAAGCAGGCGACCGCCATCAACAAACTAGGCAAGGTTCAAAGACTTGCATGTTTGGGAATGACGGGAGCAATGAGAACTTAACAATTTCTATTCTTTCTTGAGTAGAATAAACCATGTTGGAATACAGTGAACAAGGATAACTGAATAATAATTCGTGAAGAACTGACAGTGGCCAACTACCTACTTTTTATTCTGCGACAACTAGATCCAACAAAAACTACCAGTGCAGAAAAAACTAACAGTTCCGTCAATTTCAAAACGTTTACTACTAATTAAATAAATTACAAATCTAGAAGGCCTGCGACAAAGAATTGTTCGGGAATGCCGATTTCTGACTCCGGACGTCTTCAATAATGTAAGGAACCCATTCGAAAGTACACTGTATATTTGTATGGACCCAGATGAAGGTCATTTTGAACACTTCATACGTTGATTGTGTTGGCATTGATATAAATTTTGTTGATTTCCTCAATAAAATGAGCGACAGCGAATTATATGTTTTTTTCCCAAATAAAACGTTCAACATTCAATTTCTCAATAACGAATTTCGGGTATGATTTCCATATCGGAATCAGTCTCCCTAGAAATAAAAATTGACGTGTTCTTTAAAATTTTCGATTACACGTCTGTTTCTAACTTACAGGGGGGGGGTCAAGTTTTCAGAACACCCTGTATATTTCAATATCAGTAGAAGGAAGTAGTTGTTTCATAATTTTTTTTTCATTGACTTTGTATCTGAAACAAACGCCTGTGAGTGATCTACATATTTTCTTATAGTTTTTAGATTCATTAATTTTTCATTCCTTTTATTGGAAATTTCTAATAATACCTACAATAATGGAAGAGAAAAAAAATAAAAACAGTCTTTCCTGAACAAACAACCTGTCTATAAAATTATTTCTCATGACTAGGTTCGTTTCTTGTTTATTTCACTTTATCAGACACATTTCGCGTCATTTTAAAAAATCTTCAAGAAATCAGTGAGGAATGTGAGGATGACTAGGAGCGTTACCTGACAAAATAATCGAAAGAAACACATGCCACTGACGCATTTCACTTATTTTCACAATCACATCACATTCAAAACAAAGGTAAATTTAGAGTTTGACTGATCACCGCAGGAAACTTATTCGATAAGATAGATAAAAATTGATTGAATGAGTTATCTTGAGAACAAATGATTAACTACCTAGGGTTTATCTGGAATTATACAGTGGGATCCAACACGATGAGTAGGTACTATAGCAGATTCAAATTTATTCGAGCTTAAAAGATCAGAAGACATTATAAGGATATTCGAAAACGAAATACGTCCAATTTGTATTCAAAAAAATAATCTCCTTAATATATTCTAAG